AACAAAAGGTTAAGTTAGATTCCGACCCATATTTCGTTTAACAATATTGCATACAGCGCCATTTCCCCCCCTGGTGGGTGGGTTCGAACTTCCTTTTTTTCGCGGACGGAAAAATAAATTCCCATGACCCCTCCTTTACATGATTTCCAAGTTTGATAACATTTGATCCAGTAGTTTTCCTTTTATGACCGTTTCAATGTGGAACTTTTAATTATAACCACTCTGTATATTATTAAATTTTAATTTGAAGCTATGCGTTATATGTATACCATGCGCAAAATTTTCGCTTTTATGGAAAAAATAAAAAAATCGAAGCAAATATACTTAGTATAATGGACCAAAACTGAAAACATTTCCCCTCCCTCCGAAAAAAAATATTGGAATTTCGAACTTGAATTTATTGGGTTATCGAAATATTTAATTTGACTTATCTTCTAAGTCCTAGTTCCGACAACAATTCCGTCAAAAAATTCCGAATTACTTAAGCTAAGTAAAAGATTTAGTATATATTCACTGTATGTTAATAAAGTAATCAAAGTGTAATAAAAATAGATTATAGAATTTACGCTGATGTAACTTTTTGTCTGACTGCACAACATGTAATGGAAGAGAAGGCTTTGTAGAGATCTGTTTTTTACATGCCTCTAAAAGTAGATGTCATACTCCTTTTGTCTCTTCAATTTGTCAAAAAACTTTCCTTTGAGAGGCAACTTTAGTTTTTGGGAAAGAAAAAAAATCACAAGAAGACAAAGTTTGAAGAACATGCAGGACGATTGAGTACACATACTTATTTTCGGAACACAAGCGGTTCTCCGACTGGTTATTGAATAATGAAAAAGATGCATTGTCATGCAATACAAAACATTTGGAATACGTTTTCTGGCTGAATAACGTAAGATTAAAAGTCATCTGCTTAATTCACATCCATTTACAAGTCAACTACTCGGGCAATTGCAGAATCGTTTTGATCCTGAGCTTGTAAGACAAACCTAATATCACTGGATTTAAACACTTCTTTTAATCTTCCGAGAACGTTCCTTCTTTAGCTCATATTCCAAGAATGTTAAGTGAATATAATTATTGCCAAAAGAAATTGAATATTCATTTGCACTACGGCTTGGTTAGTTTACTAACGAGTTAACAAAACTTAAATTCTGCTTTTTTGTGTCTAAGAATACAACAATATTTTAAATATTTACAAATAAAATATTAAATTGGAGCCTCATCAGTTGCCTAGCATTTGAAAAAAAAAAAAAAAAAAAGATTGTTAAATACTAATTGTTTGCTGCTCAGTCTAACCCAGGCTGCATGGTTGGTTTTCGTAGTTTTTAGGTTCTCTTTACAAAGATTCTCTATGAAAGCATCTTAACAAATAGCTCCCATGTTCTTTCTATGTTCCAATAACCAACTAACCTAGTTTAAGCGCGATTTCCAAGTGAAGTTACTAGTTAAAACCCGAATACTCATTAAAAAAAAAAATCATGTAGCTAGCCAATCGGGAGTAACATGAAAGATACGGCGCCAATAATTGAAATTGTGTTACGGTACGCTGTTTCTTAACTTCTTAACTTAGATGGTCATTCCTTAATTAAATAGCCCACCAACGGCCGAGCGGTAAAGACGCTGAACACTGGTAGTTCAGTCCGAGGTTCGAATCCCGCGAACGGGCTGGCCGCATGGGCGGTTTCGTGGTTTTCCCCATGTGTAACGTGTATACGAGCCAGTTTCCCTTAGAAAGTCCTCCACGAAGGCATCCCTCCCTTTAGGCAGATAGCCCTCATGTGCTTTGCCATAATTAAATAATCCAATCCAATCCTTAATTAAATATAATTGATTTGTAAATTCTACTAGAACTGACGGTAAGAATTGAAGTGGAAATAAGTAATATGGTGTGCAATCTTGATTAATATAAAATTAAAAATATTTGCATAGAAAAATGTTTGCATTCAGACAGAAAAGTTTTTTGAAATATTTGCAATTACTTTATAAGAAGGATTTATTAATAACCGTAATAATTACTTATTATATTACTGATGATTAGGATTCAGTTCTTGACAATTACATTCTAAATTAGAATTTTAAGGGTATAATGAAAATACGCTAGCCACAAAAAATACATTTTAGGAAAAAAAATGAGTTGATTTTTTTATGTTTTAAAACTTCTTAAATTCATTTAGTAAACATCGTATCCTCGTTGTTTATTGAATCCAGAATGTTGGGTGTCGTTTATATAATTATTCTTACTTGTCCACAGAATCTGCTCACTTATCCAGCCATTAAGTAACTGCAGATCATTTCTACATAACCATTGAACTTCCATTAATTCATTCTCTAGAGGGTTGTATGTTTATATCATAATTGACTTTTAAAAAAATGATTATTCTAAATATTATGTTTCTATAAAAATATATGTGCTTTAAAAAATATGGATGATAATATCAGCCGCTCTTTCAGCCACTTCAAAAGCAACAGTTTGTTTAGAAATATATTATGCAGTTAATGTCATAAAATTCAAATAAATATCAAACGAAAATTCTCAGTTTTAGACAATTCGATTTAAACGAAGTAAAGTAGCAGACGATAAAACGCCGAAGGTAAAAATTTACTCTTACAAAAACTTACTCTTAATTTTTTTAAAAAAAGAAAAGATACGAGAGAAATTTAAAAAGATAATTAAAAATTTGAATAATATCATCTATAATTTAAAAAAATAGCCTTTCATATAGTATTAATAAATATTTATTACGCATCATTGAGGGAAAAAATGTCATATATTAATTCTTCTCCGTAAAATTTTACTTGAAGTTTAAGGTTAAAAATAGCTGTGGCAATTCAGTGTAACAAAAAATCCATAACCACATTTGGCGTTATTATCGCTCAAAAAAAAGGTGCCAAAATTTCAAACGCGAAATTATGTAAATTCGTGTATTATTTTAGAAAAATTTTTGAATAAAAAAGTCTAATTTTTTGCAGATATGCTTAAAAATACACCTACTTTAAGATGATGGTAAAAATTTTATAGGTTATAATTCAAAATTTTTTTCAAAAAATCTATAGAAAATTATTTTAAAAATAAAATTTAAAAAATAAAACGCAAAAAAAAAAATGGGTAAATTTTATTTGGAATGAACCAAAATTTCGAAATGTGAGAGAAAAAAAAATCAAAAATGTTTAATAAAAAAAGAGATATTAATAAATATTTGCCAAATTCAATTAACATTGAGGAGCTAAAATTTTGAGAGCTAATATTTTAAAAACTATTCGTACGATTTTTACAAAACTTGGTATTCTGGCATAATTTGAGTCGTAGAATCGAAATATGAAAAAAAAATTGGTATGTTATTTCAGAAAAAGTCTAGATTTTGTGTCAAAATACCTATGTCAGAATAGTGCTATATCATAAATCTAATATATATCCTAAGTCGCGCTTTTCGAGACATGAAAAATACAACGCAGTTTGAAATTTTGTCAATCGAGCCAATAGAACGGGAGATATAGCACTGTCCCATTTTTTTTTTTTTTTTTTTTTTTTTTTTTTTTTTGAGCAGTGTACATAAAAGCTGACTTCAGCTACGAAAACTGTTTGTGAACACATTATATAAATAAATTCATGGTAAATTATTTTTATTTGTTAAAGATTATTTTCTGTCAACCATTAGTTCGGCACTTTCTGTTAACTAAGCACTAGTCGCCAAATGTGCGCCAAAACACCAAACCATTTTTTAAAAAATTTATTTTACTTATTTTTTTATCGAATGGCGAGCACTAATCTATTCAGCACTGACTACTTCTAAGGCCAGAAGTGGTGAAGAGGAAGAAAATTATTATGGAGGCTCCTAATAGGCGGCCACCGTTGCCTCCTATGAAAGGACGGACAGTTACAACCATGTCAACTACGAGTTTCGGACCCGGGCCCTTCGATACCGCAGTAGGCTCCTCTAATCACTATATCGTATGAGCGGCAAAGCTCCCACTCTGGTAAGCCTGTTTATATTGGTTCATGAATAGCTGTGCAATGACGTCGTTGCGAATAAACGAGAAGAATGTACTACGTCAGTCCAGGAGTTTTCTCTTCTAGATTTTCAGTTGCTTGAGCGGATGAATTTGCAGCTACTCGATATGAACATCTGTAAATGAACCGCAAATACAGCTTTATTGATCTTGGTAGGGGATGCTATGCGCAGAATGGCAAAATATACATCAGCGCGTCAATGGCCGCTACCATCTTAATTCATGTCTCATTCAATTTATGTGGCTGCATTTGCATAGAAAAAAGCAAATGTTTAAGGCAATTTTAAATGAAGTCGATAGTTTTATAACCACCTAGAACCCGAAATTAATCTAGTAAAATCTATTTTTAATTGTTTTATTTGTCTTTATTTTTTGTATTTACTCTAGATTTAATGAAATAGTCACTCTTTTCATGAAGATTTTCGCATTGTTAGGATTGTCGCCATCTAGTTAGATTTCGCATCAAAGTTTAATGCTAATCTATATTTAGCATTAAATGAAGACCTGCTAACAGAAAAGTACATTCATTTCTTATTTTTTGCACGCAATTTAGCCCTATGTCCCCAATGTGTGCGCCTCGCTCGCCTCACCTTTGTCTCGGCACAATCTTGAGAAACAGAAGCTTATATTCCAAGATGTCATGCCTTAGCAACTTTTAGAGACTCGATTCAAAAGTATTTTCAAAATATTCAAAGCTTTAGTCAAAAGTAAACTAAAATGCTATTTGAATTCAAATCGAATTCATAATTCTTACTGTGGTGGTGAAAATTTAGATACACTTATGAAAAACCTTGAATAATTTTGATTCTTTTGTAAACCTCGCTTGACTTGATGGTACATTGAATTCCATTATTTCGTCCTAAAACATTTGAAGATCGAATCCGGGTTTCCATAAACGTGCCTAATAGTTCAGAAACGTATGCTGTAGAAACCTGGATCTTCATTGGAGGGAAAAAAAGCTACGGATGAAAGAAAACAAAATGTAATCCAACATAGTTTATTGCTCAATTCTGTAAACATTTATTGTTCACACGAAATGAAAAACAAGTTAAAATCAGAATAGTTTTCACGGATTCCAAATTACATAATAAGTTTTTATATTACAAAATATTATAAAATAAATTATTTATTAATATCGGCTTTGTTGTCTAATATAACTTAGAGTAATATATATTCTGGAAAGATCTTTTTAGCAGTTTTAAGTTTTGGCTTTTTTTTTTCCCCATGGTTCTTCTTTCTATAAATCCATAACTTGAGTCTGAATATGAAGCGTTTCCAGATGGTTCTCACCCGCAACAGAAGCAAATTCTTTTTCATCTGGAAGAAATTAAGAATGAGTTACATAAAAAATAAGAATAATTTTAAAATGCCATTCATTTATAAGCTTTTCACACTTAAATCAAAAGATAATTTAAAGCCATCTAGTGTTTACCTAATAAAGTGTAACTTGTGTGAATCAAATAATCACTTTTCCATAAATTATAGCTAATTAAATATTATGAATTCAACTATTTCTTGGAACCTGGATTCTCCAATTCAGTAAACTTTACTGAAATTAAGATTACCGTATCTCTTTGTATATTCCCCCATTTTGTTTTTGATAATTTTATCTTCAAGAAATCGAGAGGGCTGAGTAAAATTTACAATTACTCTAGCAAACAGCTTCAAACAGAAACGTTTAGATATGTTTTGAGAACCAAGTGAAAATTTCAAATTCATAAGAAAAGAAACATTTCCGTTGAAGAGAATTCTTACTTTAGAAAGGCTAAAGAATCTTACAAAGGAAAATTATTTCCAAAAATGTTTTCGTTTTACACTTTTTATGAATAACCTCACGTCATATTAAATATAAGCTTTTTATAAGCATTCCTAGAGCTTCGTCGCCTTTCGATCTGGGTGAGTAAATTGCATGCGACAGTAGGCATTGTTTTTGCGAACTGTGATGTCCACTTGCATTTCTATCAATTTTTGAACTGCTCTTTCAAGTGTGACATTTTCAGTGCTACATTGATGGTTGTGTATTTAGAAAAGAATCATTAAATTGAAATAAATGATTAGGAAATACAACAGTGATAGTTAAAAAATGGAAATATTTTATTACCATTCGAAGATAAGTTTCTAATTTTAGCTCCAGTAAATGCAAACAAAAATGATCGCTTAAAATTACTAAATTTACTTGATTCTGAGCTTTCGCCTTTACTCCCCTAAAATGAAGGATTTTCAGTATTCCGTTTTAATCAAGCATTTAATCAAGGTTTAATTCTTTAATTAAGAAAAGTAATGCAATTTACTTTTCTATAAGTTTTTTTAATACAAGGGCTGCATGTTTATAATGAACTATTTTAAAATTATTTTACGTTTAAGATATACTCGTGAAAATCTATCTCAAAATCCTCTATATTCTGCATGAAATCAGCGCAGTCTATCGTAACAAACTACTTTAAATGAAATTTGTGAAAAACTATTCGAAACAGATTCTTCAAAGCACACGAATATTGCCTGGAATTCAGTTTAAATGATTTTCCAATTCCAAGAGAACTCCTTTGTGAATGGCTCCCAATTTATGCCTGTAAGTTTAAACCCCGTCAACTTGTTATTCGAAATGACGAGTTTGAGAATCTTTTAGTTCTATGTTAGGTGGAAATTTAAAAGACGTAATTTAGATTTCTGTTGCCGCTTAGGGAAATAAAACATGCCTTGAAATTAACTATAAAATACTCTGGAACGTATCTGTCATATGAAGAGAAATTCGTACTCACAGAAATGGTGGACAACATTTTAATATTTAGTCTTTTTTAATTAAATTCTTGAATAAAATCACTTTTAATTCGGGTCTTGAGTCTTTTGTGAATGAAATAATGTCTTGAAATTCTCCTGGGCTTCCCAAGTTTCCTTTTCATTGAGAAACAAGATCGTGATAACAATTTTGTCGTACAAATAAATCTTATTCATAGGTTTCAAAAGAATGCATTTAGGATAAAATATTATAATTTTGGCAACCTATTTCAGTACTATTGTTTGACAGTTATAGATCTAACTAGAAACGCTAAAAAATTAAACTAAATTGAAAAAATAAAATAAACTTTAGGGTTTGTCTGTAATCCAAAATGCTAGTCAACTCCATTGTTTGGAGCAATACTGAAAGCAATGAGCGATTGTAAATTTGGTACAAAAGAACGGTATAGGCAGATGAAATTATGTTTATTCTTTCACCATTAAATGTAAGTATGTAAGCAGTAGGGAAAACCTCGTTCAGATCTGACAAAAGCTAAATTGAACTATTAAGCGTTATAAATCCTATTTAATATTTCATTAAACTTAAAAGAGTACCTTTTTAAACTTATATATCCCATAGTTAGTGAAATACAATATCAATAAAGCGCATGAAAACGTCTTGAACTCACTGAATAGAAAATACGGTTTCAGGGAAAAAAGTAGCATAATCGGCGAAACGGCGGTATCAGAAATATCTGCTTTGTTTTACCTTCAGAAAATCTGGGATTTAAAAAATAGTTTCGCTGCTAAAGATGAGAAATAAATCGATAAAAATAAAAACGTAAATTGAACGTAGATTTTAAATTGGCGGAATGCTGCTTGAATGCACGCAATGTTTATTGCCGTGATGTATTGGAAAGCAGATTTAGGCAGACTGCGTATAACAAAAAATACATTTTGTAAAATATTTGTGTAAACATTCTTTGCGGTTTACAGACGTCTGAATTTTTGGTTGGCAAAAATTACCGTCAAATGTATTTATTTGAGTTGGATAAAAATCTGCTGTTGCAATAACTTTTGCTAATGCAGAGTGACTATAAACAAGAAGAAACTAAAAGTATAAATGAATTGGAAAAAACATTCATTCATTTTTAAATATCAGAGTAAAAGGAAAAAAAAAAATTCGAGATTTTTTTTTTCACATTATTGACCTAGGCGGGATGAAATTGACTTTTAAAGTGAAGTTTAAATTGATGAAGATTAAAATTGACGACAAAAGAATATAATGTGCATCAGTCGATTCCAAATTACATTGAAAAACTGAAATTAGAAGCTAACTACTGTGCTTCTGTTCTTGGATGAAAAGAGAGTTTGACATGACTGTTGATAAGCCTACAGATACCTGTCTGACATTTTCTGTAACCTACATGTGAGTACAGAACTGTCTGAGCTAAGATATCAGAGATATCGAGTACAAAATATTAGTCTAAAAAATTAGTCATGCCACTGCCTGTCTGTTTGGAGTCTTTCAGTAATACTTAGCAGTCACTTTTCTATGTATTAATATTTAAGAATGAAATAGTCTGATTTAATCTTGCCGATTTACAGGTAAATGATTTATAAATTAACTTGTTAAGACAGGCATAAAAAACTTGTTTAAAAGTAAGATAAAAGTTCCTTCACAATTACCATAATAACTGACATAGCTTTAGTGCCGTAAAATAAATTACTCAAAATTGTGGAATATTCTAAGTTTTAAGCTAATCCTTTGATTTGAATGATTATTATTTAATACTGATACGTTTATTTTAATGATTAATATTAATACCTAATGAAACTAGAAATAAATGAAATAAAAGTTTCAATGTATACTCTAGTCTTCAAATTTATGCAAATATAAGAATGACTGAAATAAAGGATTACATACTAGAACTAATTAACTAAATGTAACTAAAGTAACATAATACTAAAACTAATTAACTAAACAAAAACTAAATGTAACTAAAGTTAAATGAATGAAAAAGTCTTATAGATTATTCTGTCATACAGTATAAAAAATACGTAATAGGAAAAGCAATTTAACAAAAACATTCATTCAAACAACGAAGGAAATATTTCTGAATGATGTTCTTTTTAAAGGCCAAACTAGCAGTTTTGGTAATTTCGTGAAAATTAAATAATGAAGTTAACAGAAAATGGTGTAGGCTATGCTTGCGAAATTTTACTTACATTACGGAGTTAAAATTAAAATAAACATTTCTCTTTCTGCACGTAGTATACTTAGTTTCTTTCGTGTCATAGGGGAGTTCCTTGTGTCATAAGAAATAAAACAATTAATTAGTTTCGCAGTCAAAATGATTGTTCCAAGTTCTGTTGATTTCTGAGTAATTTCTAAACTTCTCCTAGAAAATGTTATTACAGCATTGCTACTATTGCTTATAGAAGAAATAATTGATGAACAGGAATAGACGAAAAATTAAAAATACCTTTCCTGAAAGTTGCATGAACCTGCATGTGTAATGGATCTTATCAAGAGTCATATAATGTACAATAACTCAGTTCAAAAACAGAAACTAAGGCTTTAATTAGAAAGGGGTATCTTTTCAGATATCTAAAAAGTAAGTTTTCTAGGTTTGATGCATAGTCACGAAAGATATCCTAAATAAAAATAATTAACGGAATTTAAAATATAGAATAAAATTATAAATTAGATTACGTGCATGTAAACACAGACACATGTACTTATGTATATGAACTTTATCATATACTCAGAAGAAAATTACACGCAGAAATATTACAGAAGTAAAACAGGAATTAATTAGCCAATGCATCTATTAGAATTTAATCAATTTTTAATTTTACACGGAACTGTTTCAAAGTTCCTGTCTCATCTTATCTTCTGGCATTTATAATGCACTTTTTACACTTTTTCGCTTCCTTGAATAATACTACTACAAATTAAAATATTAATAAAGTTTGAAGTAAAATTTAATGAAAGTCTACGTTATCATTATTTAAATTAAAAATTGCTGAAAATAGTCAAAACAGAAAATATGCAGTGTCTGGAAGAAATATGTTTATCATTCCAAGAAAAAGAAAGGGTAAAGTAAGATTACGATAAGACATATATATTTCTGAAATCAAATTACGAAAATGAAGAAAGTTGAAAGAGAATTTTAAAGCATGTTCACGGTTAATATTAACTACAGCATTTCTCGGATAGGGAATGTATGCGGGAGGGATAAACGTTTTTACCACATGCACCCACGTTGTTTCATCAAAAATTTCTCTTTCCCTAAAAAAGGTCAAGAATGATTTTTAGATCAATGCATAGCGGTATGTATGAAAGAAAAATTTAATCTTGAATATATTGGAAATTTGCATTCCGCTACCTTGTTAAAAATATTTTCCTGCAACCGAAATTTCAACTCAAACACACACCAAAACGCTTAAAATATTGAATATTTATCTTGGATGCAAAACTTTTGTCTCATTAAAAACTGCATACACTTTTACCTTTTTCCATTCTTCATCATTCGTTGAAGCACAATTGCTCGATGTTTTTCGTGGGCCTTGTTCCATAGGTAGTCCGTCAGATCCATTCCCATCGCTGTTTGAGAAGACAGAAATGTGACTAAAAAAAATATTCAACAAAACTTTTTAATAGTCTGAAAAGTTACTTGATCTTACAAATAACACGAGAATTGTAAGATCAAGTGAATTTAAGATTGGTTTATCTTAGTCAGGGAAGTCTTGTGAAGACAGTAAGCGTTCGCGTTTCCCTCTGTATATCTTAGTAAGCGTTATTTAATTATATCAAATGAAATTAATTCTGATTTACCGTAGAAGATAACAGCAATTAAACACTCGAAATTTGCAAATAAAATAATGCAAACATGTTATTTTAGTTGCAGAGACCAATTATTAATTTGTGACTTTATTTCTGTGTTTATTTTATATCTATATTTTTTAAGTTAGTTTAAATTAATATTTCACAGGGTTAACTCACGAAAGCTTCAAATGCTTAAAGCTAACAAGAAATCGCCAAAGACTCAAATACTTGAGGTTGAAGTACTTAATATTGGCTATAAGTTAGCAATTCTGAGAAAATAAGAAGCATACATATAAAATATATATAGTTCATTTGATTAAGTCCATTTAAAAACAAATGCTCATTTCGAAATAAAATTTTATGTTAAATATATTTAGTTGCAGCTCTTCAATAATGTACGAGCAATAGTAATAATAATAGATAGTAGTAGTAACAGACAAATATGCTAACACTTGGAAAGATAAATATGCTTTTCAAATCGTTATAGGCTTTAAGAGGTCTCTTTGACAAACCTGTTTTAAAGTTGATGTCACTTTCTATTCTAAGAATTCATCATGGGTATAATGTGTAAATTCAATGAAGTTTTCTTGTTTCAAAGCAGTCTCATTCTCAAGATGTTCTGATGTTGATCATGCTGATTTTCAAGAAAATCATATTTGATGCTACTTAACTATGATGAATTTTCTTAAAAAAGATGAGAAAAATACTTAGCTTGCTTTCTTTGATATCTTTCTTCAGTAAACGGTTAATATTTTGTATGTTAAATGCACAACTTTTAAAAAGTATTTTAATTGAAAAGAAAATACTTTTAAAAAGAAAATACTTTTAAAAAGAAAATACTTTAAAAAAGAAAATGCTTTCAAGAAAATACTTTTAAAAAGTATTTTAAATACTTTTTAAAAGTATTTTCTTGTATACTTTTAAAAAGTATTTAAAATACTTTTTAAAAGTATTTTCTTGAAAGTATTTTAATTGCTACGAAATATCTATTTTTAAATATTTTGTGTCTTCGTTTTTTCGAGTAGACAAAAGGGATAACATTCAATTCTTGAAGCAAGATAGTTGAAGAGGAAATAGTTTTTCTAACCGAACTTTCTTATAACTGGAATTGGTTAGAGTACTGTAAAATTTCGGGATTACTTTAATCAATGAAGTGCAGTTAAGTGCATATTTTTAGTTAAAAAATACTTTTTTACCTTTGTATTTGCTTTTTATTTGCCATTACAAGAGTTACACATTTCTGTAAATTAATTAAACATTATTCTGGTTTTGTTTCTCGAACACTAAGTGTGCTACGAGGTATTTAAACATTTTTTTCATCTCATTTGAACACGAATCAGACTTTTTAATACATAGATAATCCCCAACTAAAACATGAAAATATTTTCAAACATTGAGGTTTCTTAGATTTTCTAATCCCAATGTGTCCTTTTTTTATTTACCACTTATATTTTTCTAACATCGATTGTGAAGAACTTTCAAGAGCTCTTTATTGTATTTTTCATCACAATATTTTTATTTTTAAATGCGATACTTAAAAAACCATCAGTCAAAAAATTAATCTCGCTTTAACAGCACTTCAAATGTCTTGTACATCTTATTTTACAAGAGCTGGCTTTACAGCTTCAATGTCCATTATTACGTAGTAATTGCTTCAGAAACCAAAGATAGACTTATGCCACTGCTGATGATAAACGTCATCATGCCTATTTTTAAATGTGATGATCCATCTGCTGATAATTATGAAGTCAATTTGTTTAACATTTGAGATATTTCTGGAATTATGTTACACCTGCTGGTTATATTTTATGTCCTAAAGTCGTTAAACGATGAAACGAACTTTGTTTAGTTATATGCAAGCACGAAAGCTTTTCTGGCTTTGCTGGATAAATGTAAGATTTTATTCTGAACATTTAAATGCTAGAAGGCGTGCATTTTTAAATTCCATGTTATGTAAGACCCACCAGAAGCCGAGTGGTAAAATTTCTGAACACGGGCAATTCCGACCTAAATCCAAGCAAAGGGGCTGGCTACATGGGCATTTTCGTGATTTTCCTCATGTGTAACGTGTATACGAGCCAGTTCCACTTAGAACGTTCTCCACGAAAACATCCCTCTCTATCGGCAGATATCCCTAGATTGCTTTGCCATAACAAACTAAGCTAGAACAAGCCAAGTTATATAGCAATTTACGTTTTCTGACATTATTAGCAGATTAGATGAGCTTTATTTTTCTCTGACATAATTTTACGCTTTGAATTAAAATGTCATACACGCATTTAAAACTTTATGACTAAATTACTGCGTCGAAAGAAATACAAAACTCTACGAAATTGCAATTAGTGAAAGAATTTGAATGAATTGTATGTTTTTAACGTAAAGATAGATCAAATGATGTATATTATACGCACCCTTTGCCTTGACACAACCAGTTAAAAAAATTGGAAAGAAGACGCATGCTGGAAATGACTATAAGTTAAATTTCCAGCAATTTTTATCGACTAATCAAGCCTACGGTAACTTAAAATTCTTATATTATGGAGATAACGAAATAGTCATCTTTGTCTTATGAATTCTGGGCGTAACAGAAAACCGGTTTATTCCTCTTTCTTAGAAATTTATTAGGAAATAAAAAATATGGAGCACATATAAATACATATATACATATAAATGTTTGATTTTTTGTGCATGAAAATTTGACTTTTCTTATTTTGTCGCAAACATAAAATTTTCTGTAAAATTCACAACACGTTCAACCAAAGTTTATTTTCCTCTCTTATATTCTAGTTTTATATAACGAAAGTCGGCTGTACCTAAAAGTATTAAGTTTTGATTTCCGCTGTCATGCGAATGTTCATATCGAAAGATTTACGAGGAAATCACTGAAATCAGTTTCGTAGAGAAGAAAAATTTTAAAAAGAATCATGAAAAAATGTTATCCAAGAATGAAGTTGGTAATAGATTAACATAATTTACGTGTTAAAGACAACGAAATGAAACAAATATTAATTGGGGGGTTACTTTTGGTAGTTACGTACCATCCCGTCGACTGTGGAATTGTCGCCAAGCAAAGCTAATTATGGATAAGCCTGGCATAACAAGAAATTCATAACATCTGCGCTTTTGCTTGATATAACTCTGATTGATTATCGATAAGCTACCTTTTGTTTTTATGAACAAGGATATAAATTAACTTGGTATTTAGATATGAAAAATAATCATAATTTTTCTACAACAGCCTTTGGAACTTGGAACACAACAAAAAGAAACATACGAAAATAGAGGTATTGGAAACTGAATATTCGTTGTGCGCATGGTTGCCTGAATTATTGTTATGCGCATGGTTACCAGAGTTTGGCGTATGATAGTTTTTACGATTTCTACTGAGGTGATTAAGATAACACGTAAGTACCATTAACTATTGAAGCTGTATTTGTTCCTGCATTTTGAAAAAATATTGTAAAATTTGAAACTGGTCTTCTACAGATCATCAAACAGAGGATTTTTTTCCAAAATTAAAGCATCTTACTATTAAAAAATGTGTATATTAATGGAAACGACATGGCGAGCTGAATATGGCCGACAAAACAGTAATAAATAGGAATTACCTATGAAAAATTTGTACTCATAGCATTCTAGACAGGGCTTTCTGTAAAATGGGAACACATACCAAAATAGTGGAAATTTGCAAAACCAAAATAGGTTGAACTGCATAAAGAGGTGTCAGCTCCTTTAGAATTCACCCGGGACGAAACTTTTATGGACTTTCCGCCAACATCCATGGTTTGATGGCAGTCATCTTTCATGGTCGACGGGATAATACGTAAATACCCTACTTTTAATTAAAAAAACTCTTCGTGTAACGGCAAGATTAGCAAGCGCTGTACACTTTATGCAATTATTACGGTGCACTCATCATCACTTATCATCCTGTTCAATTTAAGTCAATTTCAAAGTAAATTATAGAATATAATGCTTAATTAGGCTGAAATAAAAATTATTTCAGTTAAGTAAGCCTGCTTGTTTAATTTTTGATATAAATACCACGTTTCTAAGAATTCAAAATCCTTATTTAAAAAAGTTTTTTATTAGTTTGTTGTAGGTGTAAGGACACATTTCAGATTAAAATCGGAAGAAAGTAACAAATGGTGATTAACAGTTTTGGTAGCTCAGTGTCAAAGAATGAAAATACTTAAGTAAATTACGATCTATTTTACATCCGGAGAAGAATCAACAGGTTTTAAATTTTGAAAAGGGCATATTTTTGCATCATAATTAATAAATGTCTTAGTAAAAAAATTATTAAGAAAAATACAGGTATTAAAATAATTTTCGTTACTATAAAAAAAGAGAAATATTATGCCATTTTTTTCAGTGTCCTGATTAGGCAGTCTGTGAATGGGTGCCTAAGAAGACTGCTAGAGCTCTAATGCCCAAAGTCAAACCATCTGGATCTTCAGCATCGATATCTCAAACGCAGAATTATTTGAGAAAAGAATCTTAACAGACTTTGAGAGCTCGCTTTGTTCAAAGTAAAATACATTGTTATGGTATGATCAGTTCCTTCACTCGTTAGACTGAAGAAATTCAGATTCAGAAAACAAGTTTTTAAAACTTGCAATATCTGTTCCTTCAGTGTCATCTTATACTGTGCAACATCATGTATAAAATCTATTAAATAGTTTAACTTACTTTGTAAGGATCTTAAGTTTTACTAACGTTTATTTTATTTTAAATCTTTACTATCACTTCTTATTTTCTACTTCCGGCCAGAATTA